TGGATTATATAGTTAAATTTTTCCCCTTGCAACTAATAATCTTTGGGGAGACACTTGTTAGACCATGCATATATCCTACTCTTCAGACAAATTTCCCCCTAGGTTTAGCATCCATTGATGATACTTACTTGAAGCAGTCTATACTATTATGGCTGCAAAATGATGATTTTTCCCAGCTCCAGTGTGTTCCCTGCACATTTACCAGTTGGATTCTACTGTAAGAAGGGGACCTTTCCTTCTGCCCCAGTTTTATATGTGTGTATTATATTTAGTTATTTGTCATTGGTATGGGCACATGACTTCCTCTTTTCTGTTGGCTTATAATTCATTACTGATGTTTATTATTTTGGTGTTCAAATTGTCACACATTCGGGCAGTGGGAGCCTCTTCAAGTTGACTCCCAGGTCCTTATGACGTGCTCCCACCACTTCTAAAGTACTTCCCCACTCTCTCTGATAATGACACGTTCCAGGTGGAGCTAGAGTTTTTCATATGAGGGACCTTCCAGTGTACAGATGGTTTCAGTATAGTGTGTTTAGTGTTCCTGTGGAGGGTAAGCACAGTCTACTGTGGCGGCATAGTGGAGGGTCATCTAGCTAGTGTAGGCAGAGGAGAGGCATGGCAGCAGGGCTAAGTGGGCGGATGTCAGTGGGAACCTCCTTAGAAGAAATGCCACCAATACTGACACGTACAGGATCAGTAGGAATAAAGTAAATATGTAATTAGACTTAACCATACTTTAATTTCTTTTAATAGAAAATGACTGTGATGTTAGAAGATTGTTACTTTTGGAAGGCTGGTTAACATCCATTTCCTAAGAGAAACTTGACTGCCATTTGCTCTGGCATGGCGCAAAGCAATCCACAGCTTGATATTCAGGTTCTCCATGATCTCCGACAACGTTTCCCTGAAATTCCAGAGGGTGTGGTGTCTCAGTGCATGTTACAGGTAAGTTACCTGCCAGTGATAGTGATATTAAGTTATAGTTTTTATTAGAGCTGGCTTTGTGTTGTAACTAAAACTCAGTAACATTTTTGTTGAGGGTGGGTAAGGGGGAACATTTAGAGCAAGATTTCTCAACCTAGGCACCTTCCACATTTGGGACTGGATAATTCTTGAGTGTGGGAGTCTGCCTTGTGCATTATAGAATGTTTAGCAGCATCCCTGGCCTGTACCCACTAGATAGCAATAGCATCCTTGCAGTTGTGACAACCAAAAATGTCTCTAGACATTGCCAAATGTCCCATGGGAGGCAAAAATCTGTCCCCATTGAGAACCACAGATTTTAAGAAAAGAGTAAAGGCCTGTAGCAAAAAGAAAAAAAAGATTTTCCTTATATTTCACTTTTTGAATTTTTTGGGGTTGTATCATCAGTTCCTAAATCCTTATAGTTGAATTTTGAATCTCAACTTTATCATTTTAACTTCTTAGACTATACATTTTGAGCCTATGTTTAAAAGTCTGTAGATAATCCACTCCCTCTCTTATTATTTTTCTAGTTGGTAAATTTTTACTAATATCCAATTTTAAGTGTAAGCCCACTTTCTTTAGTTCAGTCACATTCTCTTTTTGTCTTGTTGTCTTACATTGAAATAAATCTTTCATCTCTGAGATAAAATGTGTCTTTCTACTCAAGAGGCAACAGGCCTGTTGTTCCCCCTATTGTGTTTTGAGTTATGGCACTTTTCTACTTGGTTGACTTTTGGGAGCGGTACTTCTACCCTGCCTGCTGGTCTTCTTCACGCACAGTCAGTACTCATATTCAACCTCTACCTTACTGCAGTGTGAGCAGCTCAGTGTATAACCTAAACCTATATACAGCTGAGGTTAATTACAAATAGAGACTGACAGAACAATGGTGGTAACACAGGTGCTACTTTTGTCTGCAAGCCTGTTACTAGGCCTAGACCTTTGGGCTTATGGTATCTGGGTTACAGCTTGCCTTTGTTTTCTCTAATGCACATTCCCAGTCTGAATCTCAGCTCTTTTCTTTGGCCCCATTTTGGTCTCACCCAGAGAAAGGTGCTTCCCACTAGAGTGAAACCAAGCAGAAATGAGGCTTTTAGTTCAAAGCATGACCCAGTCACCTTCCTTACCTATCCCCGGGCCCCACCTAGCTCTGACCTTGTTTTATTTTACTTAGCCCTTTATTACCTACATTTTTTATGGCCACTTAACTAAAGCGAAGGAATATAAACATTTATTGATACTTACATTGTCTTAAGTCTTTCACTTAATTCTTCCTTTGGGATTTAATAGAATATATTGGTATGGAGACTTATCACCTACTGGCTCTGGAAAGTTTCTTTGATCACATTAAAATATATGAGACTCAGTAATTTGCATTTAATGGGCAAGGCTTAAAGCCTCTCTGGGCTGTCATCCCTCAATTTAGATCACTTTTTAGGAGTATGATGCTTTTTGCCTTAGTCCTTTCAAGGGTATTCATTATATGTTGTCTTAAAAATTCTGATCTCTTTATCCAACTAAGTTTTAATTTCTTTATTTACTGTTCAATAATTTTTTTTTTCTTTTTTAAGGCATTTAACAGGTCAAATATGACATTTGAATCTATTCTAGTGGTATTCTTTTTATAATACTTCTGTAAAGATAATACTTTAGTATCGTTTATTTGTGCTTTTAAATTTTTCTTCATGGGAAAATTTACTCAACGTGTCACTGTAGGCATGCTAACAAATCCAACTTTAAATAATTTTGAGTTTGGATCTTTTTTGTGATAATACTAAATAAGCTACCTAATTCAATGTAAAAAACATGAAATGCAGGATTATTAATAAAAATATCAAATGGTAAAGTGTCCATGACTGTTGTAGTTTCCAAACAAAACTCTCTAGTTTTTGTTCTCCCCTGATCCATAGGTTTATAAAAAACTTGAAGGACATACTTTTACTTTTCATGTTTTTTTTCCTTCAGATATCTGTCAGTGACACATTCTAGTTGGCAATCAATCTGAATCCTTTGGTTCCAAATTTGTGTTTAGTAGCTGGCTTCTCTTCCTTGCTCAGCATGATTTTCAATCAGGATAAGAAAAATTCAAATCTTCGAGTTCTAATTATTTTCTTCTTAAGCTTCAACTAATACTTCTTTCTATGATGCAAAGTATTTTTTAAAGTATTCGAAATTTAGTATCAAAAATTTTATATAAGGAAAAGGATAAAAAATTGTCTGTAGAGTTTTGATGAAGCCAGTTATTTAAATTTCTGAGAATTGATTTTGCAAAGGTTTGCTTGAGTGAATGTTTTTTTGCTTCCTAAGGCTCCAGTTTAGTAATGTCTTTTTAGCCAAACCTCCTCTTTCTTGAAATTACTGTGTGGAAAGAGCACTGGGACTCAGGAGACAAAGAATCTAGAACTGTCTCTCTAGTTAACTAGTTAAGTACCTGTTGTCAAGCCACGTAACTTCCCAGGCATCTCTTTCCTCATCTGTAAATGTGAATTGGGTTGGAATAGATGAACTCTATTAAGAGTTTTCCTAACTCTAATAAGAGTTCTCCTCACTCTAAAATTACAACATCGTATGTCCTGTTTTAGGTTTAACCCTATTTGGTTCTTAGCAGAAGTGAAGTGTTTCCTTTCATTCTTATATAGAATTTACTTTTCCCTAAAATAAATATATAGTAATATGTATGTATGTGCATATCTGTAGGTATATTTATGAACTACAAAGTTACAATAATTGAGAAACTTTATGGATTGTTTCAAAAGCAATGAATAGTATGTTTC